AAAAGCTAATTTTCTAATTAGATTTTCTAAAATTTGTGTTGTAAGTTTTATGGTTTTTCTAATTATTCACACATCAGGGTATGGTGGCTGCCAATCCAAACATAAGTAGTTTGAATCAAAGAGCTGCTCCATGGAAAAGATAGGCAGTTTCCATATTTGAGATTTATGGCATTGGAAACTCCATGGAGGGCATGAGTCAGAATCTACTCAATGGCAAGGTAGGTATGGTAAAATTAAGTGACACCATCAGGTGTATCCATAACTCAGTAATAACTGAACTTAACAGGCAGAAATCAAAAGAAGCCTGTAAAACATCTTAGCAAACAAAATGTGGGCCTGGAAGACAATATTCTAAAATAGTGTGAATTTACTGAGAAGTTCCATCTCACTTCTTACTTATTTTATTTGTGGTGCATATGTCATCGTTACAATTTTATGCTTAGAAGAACAGGCTTACTTTGAAAAAGATGAGAAGTGACAGGGCAGGCAGAGTAGTTTTAAAAAGTAAACTGACTTGGAGAAGAAAGAAAAGTTAATAGACATTTTAAAAAGTTAACTGACTTGGAGAAGAAAGAAGTGTTAATAGACAATGTACAAGCACTCTTATCAGTGTTGAGTAGAACTTTCTTCTAGGACAGAAACACGCTGTTTTCCACTAACCAACATGGTAGTCACAACTCATGCATGACTTTTTGAGCACTTGAAATATGCCCAGAGTGACGGAGGAGATGGAGTTTTAATTTCCTTTAACTTTAGTTAAATTGGAATAACTGCATGTGGCTAGTAGCTTTTGTCTTGAAAATAAAATTTTCAGACAATTATACCTTATTGTTTTAGTAAGTTGCTCTAGAAAGTCTCTGTGTATGTATAGCTCAGGAGATGGATTCATCTTTAGGATTAATCTCAGCATTAAAAAAAAAAGTTCAGTGATACCTACTTTCTTTCCAAAGCAGTACTTTTTTAGAAAGGAGTTTTGTAAAAATTATTTATTCTCTGTGCTTTGGTTGAGTAGTGTATCTTTTCATTACCTCATCTTTGATTGGCATTCTAATCTTTGCTTACTTACTATTTGATTGCTATTTGGGTTGATCACAACTATCCTAAATGAATACACATTCTTGTATTTATATTAAAGTGGTATTCTATATCATAGATTTATGCATGTTTACCTAAACATATGTCAACAATTTAACTTTTATGTTTTATAAATTTTCTAAGATGAAATAGGAAAAGTCCTAGTGTAATACAGAAAATGTATGAAGAAACTGTATTCCATGAAGAATGCAAAAGATCATTACAAAGGCTGAAAAAGAAGAAAAGACCAAGGTGGATGTCTGATGAGACTCAGAATATTTCATTAGAGCACTGAGAAGCCAAAGCTAAAGGAAGAAACCAAGAAATCAAAGAGATAAACAGAAAATTTCAAAAGGCAGCCCAGGAGGACAAAGCAAGATACTATAATGAAATGTGCAGAGAGCTGGAGTCAGAAAATCGAAAGGGCCTAACTGTCTCAGCGTTTCTTAAGCTGAAGGAGTTGAAAAACAAATTCAAGCCACGGGTGGCAATACTTAAAGATACTTTGGGTAGAATGTTAAATAATCCAAGAAGTATCAAGAGAAGATGTAAGAAATACACAGAGTCACTGTATCAGAAGAAATTGGCTGACACAGAAGAATTTCATGAAATGACATATGAGCACGAGCCTATGGTGGTGAAGGAGGAAGTTCAAATTGCTCTGAAGGAATTGGCAAAAAACAAGGCTCCAGGAGTTTACAGCATACCATTTGGCATATTTCGACAAACAGACGCTGCCCTGAATGTGCTCAGTAAGTTGTGCCAAGAAATCTGGAGGATGGCCAGCTGGCCCACTGACTGGAAAAGATCGATATTTGTTCCTATTCCAAAGAAAGGTGACCCAACAGAGTGCAGAAATTATCGAACAATGTCATTGATATCACATGCAAGCAAGATTCTGCTGAAATTATCCAAAAACGGTTGGAACAATATGTCAACAGAGAACTGCCAGATGTACAGGCTGGATTTAGAAGAAGTCGTGGTACTAGGGATATTATAGCTAATGTTAGATGGATCTTGGCAGAAAGCAAAGAATACCAGAAGAATGTCTATCTGTGCTTCATTGACTATGCAAAGGCTTTTGACTGTGTGGATCACAACAAGCTGTGGCTGACTCTGAGAAGAATGGGAATCCCAGAATATTTGATTGTGCTAATGCGAAACCTATACTTGGACCAGGAGGTGTCAGAACAGAGCAAGGAGACACTACATGGTTCAAAATCAAGAAGGGGGTCTGTCAGGGATGTATTCTGTCTCCATACCTTTTCAATCTGTATGCAGAACAGATCATCCGAGACGCTGGGCTTTATGAAGAGGAATGTGGCATCAGGATTGGTGGAAGAAACATCAACAACCTGCATTATGCAGATGACACAACCCTACTTGCTGAAACTGAGGAGGACATGAAGCTCATGCTGCAGAAGGTCAAGGACTGCAGTCTCCTATATGCATTGAAGCTCAACATCAAGAAAACAAAGATTCTCACTACTGGGCCTGTTGGCAGCATCAGTATGGATGGGGAAGAGATTGAGATAGTTAACAGTTTTAGTTTGCTTGGCTCCACAATCAACACTCTTAGTAACAGCAGCCAGGAAATCAAGAGGCAAATTGTATTGGGAAGTTGGCTGTGAGGGACCCCTCAAGAGTACTGAAGAGCAACGACATCAGGCTGGAGAGTAAGGTACATCTCATCCGGGCTATAGTCTTCGCAGTTACGTGCTATGTATCAGAGAGTTGGACAGTGAATAGAGTTGATAGAAAGAGAACTGATGCCTTTGAGCTGTGGTGCTGGAGACGAGTGTTGAATATATGATGGACTGCTTGGAGAACAAATAGGTTTGTGCCTGAGAAGATGAAGCCAGAATGCTCCTTGGAGTCAAGGATTCTGAAGCTTCGTCTGACATACTTTGGGCATGTTGCTAGGAGGGGACTGGTCCTTGGAGAGGGACATCATGTTTGGCAGAGTGGAGGGGTGGCGAAGGAGAGGAAGACTTTCAATGAGATGGATCAATTCTGTGACTGGAGCAGTGGGAATACGTGCGTTTGAGATGGCTAGGTTGGCACAGGATAGAACAGCGTTTAGAGCTCTTGTACATAGGGTCGCTGTGAGTCGGAAACGACTCGATGACACGTAATAACAACAACAATACAGAAACTGTATTAGACTCTTGGATTAATGATTCTTGTGAATTCCAATATAGGATTAATTTACTCAAAAGTAAGTTTCTTGATAATAGCAGTGATAATTCATCCTCATCACGCTTTAAAATGTGAGTGAAGTACAAAGAAATATTTTAAGAATTTACTGAAGTCTACTTTTTTTGAGGTACACACAAGATGAATGCTTACTGCTAACTAAAAAGCTGGCAGTTTGAAACCACCAGCTGCTCAGTGGGAAAAAATGAGACAGTCTGGTTTTGTAAAGATTTATAGCGTTGGAACACTGTGGGTAGTTCTGCCCTGTGTTGCAGGGTCATAGTGAATTGGAATCAATTTGATGGCATTGGATTTGGGTTTAGGGTTATATAAATAAATGTATTTATAGACCCCCTAAAAAATAAAAAGTGAACTTTTTTAAAAGCACATATGAGTCCTTGTATGGCACAAGCAGTTAATTACTTGATAACTACAAGATGGTACTTTAAACTCATCCAGAGGCTCCTTGGAAGACAAAGCTGGCAGTCTGCTTCCAAAATGTCATAGCTTTGAAATCCAGTAGAGCAACTCTGTTCTGCCACACAGCGCATCACCGGGAATTGGAATAAACCCCACAGCAGTGGGTTTACTGGCAGCTCATGGAAAAAGACATTCTTTCTTTTGGAACTCGCAGTAGTTGCTATGGGTGTATGGGAACACATGCACACAATATCTATAATTCAAATTGAATGATTTCAGGAAGAGTGAAAATCTAAAATAGAGGATAGATTCTTTGATTGTGTCCACAATGTAAAGTAATTAATCTTTTTTATCTTTACACGATAACACCAATAAAACACACAACATTCATCTTTTTTGCTGATGTTGTTGATTACCTTTGAGTCAAGCACAACTTACAGCAACCCTATGAACCAAAGGCTTGAAGCCACTCTACAACTATTGACATTTATCAAAGTTCATAGGGTTTCCATAGACATGTTATTTAGGAAGCGAATGCTACTGTTTGATGTATAGAACTTTTTAATTATTTTCACTCTCAAGCCATGTGTACTATTAAGGACTTTTTTTACCTTCAGTTAGCTACATTGGTAATTCAAACTCACTCAGTGGCTCTTTGAAAGAGCAACCAAGTCTCATAAAGAATAGAGCCTAGAAAATCCTAGGGAATAGTTCTCTTCTGTTCAGTAGAATTGCTGTGAGGCAAAATCAACTTGGTGCTACCCAACAAGAACAGCAGCATCTTGAATGAGGCTCCCTCTTAGGGAGCAGGGGGAAAGGGAAGAAATCTTAGGTTCTTATATTTTTATTCAACACCCATCCCTAGACAAACTTTTCTTTCTTTAAAGGCAAAGAAGGACAAAATGTGTTTTATTATATTTTTGTTTACACTGTGAAATTTTCTATATAAATGTTGTATATTTGACACTTAATCTAATCCTAGTCACATACTGGACCAGGTTCTCTGTACTCTCAGCCTCGTGCTCATGTCACCTCACCTTTCCCACCATCTGTCGTCCACATATGTGTACGTAAATGGCTTTCTGTGGATACTCAGGGTACATGTCTGCATTACTTTTGATGAAGAGAGAGGTAAATAGCAGCAAGAGGCTCTTACTGCTTTGTTCAAATAATTTTCCCTTAAGTTGGACATTAGTAGAACTTCCTTGTTGCTCACTGATACTAACTTTTCTTTGCATCCTCTAGAACAAAGGTCACCATTGTTAGTGGAGATGTGCTGAGACCACTGAGAATGTACATAATTGGGTGGCAAAGGCTCTATGGAATTGTACAAAGATGGGCATCTCCTCCCATTTAATTTGGAGCCTCACAGCCCAGTGGAGGATTAGCTATGCATTGCTTCAAACTCAACGGCAATGCTTTTTTGAGCTTCAAAGATGTATTAGTTTCTTAGGCATGCTATAACAGACGTACCACAAAGTCAGTGACTTTAATTCACAGAAGTTTATTTTTTTCACAGTTTCCCACTGCCACTGAGCTAAAAAAGACTCATAGGTAATTTCTCAGGCTGTAAATCACATGGACGGAGATTATCCATTCATATGCTGTCTTCTTTGGAGAGGGGAAAAATTATCCATGTCTCTGCTTCCCTAGCATTCTTTTTGGCTTTCTTCGGAGATCTCCATATGTCATCTATCTTTCCCCATTTACACATGCTTCCATGTCTGTACTATTTCTTTATGTCTTAGGAAATTGATTTATGACACACGTTAGACTGATACTGTCTCTTCAGCATAGAATTCAGTGTTCCTAAATAGGATTACCGTGGGTGTAGTGCCCAAGAATTACAACATGTACTATTAACACACGCTATTCAGATCCTAACATAGATCTTCATAGGTTTACAGAAATGCTTATTGGCAACATCTTTCTCAAATTGTACTGAAATTGTGGAATTTTTTTATTTTATTTTAATAATTTATAAAAACCACTTATAAATCTATCCGTCTCATATATCTCAAAGAATAAAGACTTAATCTTGAAATGAAAATTGATGATTGTTTTTTGCCACCAGGGCTGCTGAAATCCTTTACTACTTCGCCACGCGGCAAGCTCAGAAATACAGGATAAGTAAATTTCTTTCGTCATCACATTATGTGGCACTGACAGAAGCCAGAAGGAATCTGGGATTGTTTCAACATCATGATGCTATCACGGGAACTGCAAAGGATTGGGTGGTTGTGGATTATGGTACCAGGTAATGTAATTCTTCAAAAATCTTTTGAAAAAGAATCCTTGCTGCCAGTTGGCATTAATAGCTTGTATATTTTGGTAGAGTTGTTAATGCCTATCAGCCTGCATTAATAATTGTTTCCTTTATAAGCAAGCGCTACAGAGCTCTGGTGATATAGTCCCTAGTAAGTTGCACTGCTAACTCAGAAACTATACATTTGAAGCCATGAGAGAAAGATGGGCCATCTTGGAACGAGAATTAATGCCTTGGAAACCTGATGGAGGGTTGTTTTAAATTGGACCTAACATCATAGCAAAGAGATGTTTTGTTGGTGGTTTTTTAAAAGAGCAAATTTTAAGGGAGCTCTGGTGGCCTAGTAGAAAGAAGCTGTACTGCAATCCCAGAGGTGTGCGGTTCGAATCCACCAGATGCTCTGCTGCAGAAGGACGGACAATCTCCTCCTGTACCTGTTAGATCCAATTTGATGGTACATGCACAAAAAAATAATAAAATAAAAATAAAAAAAAACCCCAAAAAATAAAAATAAATAAGTATTATAATAACAAACCCAAACCACTAATTTTCAAAGCATGCTTCAATAAATTGACAGAAGTAGTGATAACCATAACTTTAATACAATCTATTTCTTAAAAGAAGTAGTAAAATATTACCATTGAAGCTGATCCCATTTTTGACCAACAGTTTGGCATCAAATAAATTATATTTACAGTTCAGCGAGATACAGTGTCCTGCTTCACTGTATATAAAAGTCTACTCTCATCCTTTTCCTCATCTTGTGTGCCAGTTGACTCAGAACTGACCTTTAGAGAGTTTTCCGAGGCAGTAAATTGCATGGGGGTAGATTACCCATCCTTCTCCCAAGGAGCAGCTGGTGGGTTTGAACCATGGACCTTTGAGATTGAAACATAGTTTCTTATCACTAGGGCACCAGAGAAACCTCAGTTTTTTAGATAAGGATAGCTCAGAAGATGAACCTACAAATCTAGTCATATGTGGTTGATGAAGAATTGAACATAAGAAGTATGCCCTTGCTGTTGATATCAGAGCTATCTCTATATCTTTAATGGGTGTCATATGAATAAGGAAACAGAAGTTTGGTTATTTCCATGTTGTGGAATTAGAAACAGTTAGTGCAGACTTCGATTCAGAGTAGTAGAGGATTTTGCAAACAGTGGCTCCTAAAAAAAAGAAAGGCATACTTTTTGTAATAGTTTCATCGCCACTATCATACAAGAATTTGAGTGACTGTTAAGACTGTTGTAGAGAGTATCCTTACCCTAGAGAGGAGATTAGAGATTTGCTTTACAATAGTTTAAACTTTTAATTTTTCTCCAGAATTATTTTTCGGAAGTGATTCTATTCATTATTGGTATCTCTGTAATTTGGGAAGTATGCATAGCCTGTAAAATCCACATCAGAAATTGACCCATAACTAGTAGCATTAATTGTAATAAGTCTTAATTAAATTTTTTGGTATAGAATTTCTTTACTAGACATTACATTCTTCAGATTATATTACATTTTTTAGTTACTGAAGTGAGTCCTTAAAAATCATATATCTTCTTAGTTTTGAATATCTTCTTGCATTACTTTCTCCATATGTTTTGCATTGCTTTGAGCTTATGAAAACCTCTCAGGATAAAATTATATTTAAAAAGAGGATGGGGAAGGCACAGTAATTGTCAAAGTGTATTTGACATTTGTAATTTGCTTTGCTGGCATTTCACACTTCATTGAAAAGTCACAAATGATTATCAAGTCATTAGCACAGGCACATTAAGTAGGAAATTTCCAAAACATAAGATAGAGAGTTTAAAAAAATGCAGCTGGCACTTCCTTTCTTTGAGTTACTGCCAGATATGTCATCACTAACAGGTGTGTGAATTAGGGATTGCATTTGGCTGTTCTGTCCTGTGTCTTGTTATGCCATGTAAGAGGACACCTGCAGGTAACCAGCTCAGACATGACAATCTTCACAAGGTCATCAGGCATCTATGCTCTTCTGACTTTTCTCCTCTGACATCCTAGATGTGATTTTTTTCATCCTCTTCTTGGCAGTTATATTTTGAATGTTTGTATTATTGCAAACTAGAGCATAAGAAAACACTATGTCTTATTTAGAAATTACTTTTATTTATACCATTGCAAAGAAAGGAATTGGATTGGGGTATTCCTCCACGTAAGCTTCAAAGAGGAAAATAGGCCTGTTTAGATCAGAGGAAGACATGATAATGAGACCACCAAGAGAAGCATTTGGAAGTTTTCCAGTTTCTAAATTAGTATTAAGGTAGGAAGAGAAAACGGTTTGAAAGGTAAAGGGGAGAGCTATAACATGTCAAATTACTGTTGACAAACATTATAATGTCTAGAAACAACTATAGTGGCAACCAAATAGATATCATGAAGACTCCTAAGTGATATTTTCTGTTAAACTAAAGTGTGCCTGATGCAGGCCATAGTCTTTTCAATCACTTGCTATGCATCTGAGAGCTGGACATTGAATAAGGATGACAGAATAATCAATGACTTTGAATTGTGGTGTTAGAGAAGAGTACTGGATTGCCAAAAGATCAGACAGATAATGTTGGAGAAAATGCAGTCAGAGTGCTCTTTGGAGGCAAGGACAATAAATCTTCATCTTGCATACTTTGGGCGTGTTGGTAGGAGAGGCTATTCCTTGGAAAGGTGGAGTGTAAGCAAAAGAGAAGATGACACTCAACCAGATGGATTGACCAAGAAACTACAGCCGTGGACTAGAGTGTTTTAGAGTTGATAGGGATGGCACAAGACAGGACGGGTTCAGATACCCTGTTGTCCATAGGGTCACTATGACTTGCACATAACTTGATGGCACTTACCAACAACATTTTATATAAAAAGGATTAAGTTCATGTTGGGATGTTAGTGTTCTAATGAGAATTCCACATTGTTAAACATCTTAAATTTTGTTTTACCTGAATTTATTTGCTATGTTTTATTTTAAGCAGAACATTTTATACATCTTTTATAAAGAGTTTGAAGAATGCTAATTTATAATCATTAGTTCTTTATAATCGTTTGACAGCTGCATTTGTGCCTTTAAGATGTAAACATCAGTCCGTGACTTTACACAATTAGAATTGTTGTTAGATGCCATATAGTTAGTTCTGAGTCGGAGCAACTGGGTAAACAAAACACTGCCTGACCCTGTGCCATGCTTACAATCATTACTGTGTTGGAAAGCATTGTTGCAGTACTCTTGAACACACTCTAAGGCATAAAGAGTGATTTTAGCTAGTAAAGACCATGTTTCCGTCCTTTTCCCTAGACTCTGACAATGTACTGAATAAAGATGAGCATGTGGAAATAGAAGGAAACTTAGATTGAGGGACTTGTTTTCATGGACTGAAATGTATTCATTCATATGTTCTTTCAGTATGGTGACAGCATTTAGGAAAATACTTGCATAGGACTGGGAAGTATATGGATGAATAACATGGATTCAGATCCATAAACTTTTAGTTAAAGTTGCAGATTTCTTGTGTAAATTTATATTTAATTAGTACCTGCTGATATTGATTGCTTTCATCTTTGATGAAAATGTTAATGCTCTGCAAATAAGAAGTTATATTTCTCATTTATTTACAACCTTTTTTTTATTGCATCCTGACAAGCATTTTTTTAATAATAGATCCAAAGGCATTTTATATGTTGGGGAAAACAGTGTTAGTCCGATTGATTCTGATAGTTGTTTGAAACAACAAGTTTTCTCTACAGATTTCTTTGATAGAACTTTACCTAGAAATTCTCCATAAAACAGTGTGATTGGATTCGAAAAAAAGTATCAAATAAGTTTATTCTCCTTATTAAAAATAGTTGAAGACAGACTGAAGTTATATTCTAGAATTTATCTTTGATTGATTCATAAACATTGTTTTGATACCATAGATATAAAAATGCAATTGGAATACTGTTGATAATTTCATTGACCAAGAAAATAAGCAAGGACATGAAGACAATTTCATTATTTAGATCTGAAAGAGAGACCACTCTGGGGGCCTAGTGACAGGGTTGCCAACCCAAAGGCACACAGTTCAAATGTACCAGCTGCTCCTCAGTAAAAAGATGACATTCTTCACCATTTGATTTAATGTCTCTGAAAACTCACTGGAAGGTTATATGTAAGTCGATTCTAACTTGATAAGAGATCTGTAAAACAAAATAAAACCCAAAAGATAACAAAATCCAATTTCCAAGTAATTTTCCTGAAAGCAATGTGAAACCAAATATAAATTTGAATTCCAGGCTAATGGATGTAGCCTGAAATTTCTTGTGAATGGAATTAATAGCATATATTCTTTGTCTTTTGGTTGTTTCAACCTGTTTTAAGGATCTAAGGATTCTTTTAAGTATCAATTATTGTTTGTGATAGAGTACCTTAAAGCTATGTGAGTGATTTTGCTGATTATTCTTATTCTTTGATATAATCATCATAGAAAGTATTAAATATTTGATTAAGTTTGTTGGGTTTTGCATAAAAAATTTCTATTTTAAGTGAATCCCTATCTGTTACATTGTCTAGTTAACATTTATAGATTATTTATCGATTTTGTTTTATGAATACAAGGTAGAGATACTGGTGGTTTGACTAATATTGAAAACACTGAAAATATTGTATGCTAATTTTTAATTCTCAGACTAGTAAAATATTTTGATTCACAGACTTTTTCATTCATTAATGAATTTGAAGAAGATAATCGGAGATTCTACACTACTTCTTATATTGAAGGACAAGCACACATATGAGTCTTACTCTTCAGATAACTTCTTAGAGATGGTTAGTTGATATCTTTTCTACTTATAAAAATGTATGATTTTTTTGTTGTTCTTGGATTGGAAAAGAGGGGTGTTGTTAAACTTCTGTTTAATAAAAAAGATTGAAATACAATCATTTGTATGCTCTTTGGAAGATTTTCTGTAATTCTGTATGAATAACTTTTATCTCCTTTTCTGTAAATGTGTATTTGTATTTGATTTCTTAACGTGTATTTTGTTCAGGCAAATTGAAATGGAAGACCACTTCTGCTAAATATAAGTATTAAAAAAATGTGCGCGAGAGCATATGGGATATGCTTTCTTTATAAAGTGAGGCTTTAAAGGAACTTGCCAAAAGTTTTCATTAGTTATTTTGCCTGGTTTTAGTTAGAAACTCCTTAGTATTTGAGGTTTTGTCAGTCTTAATCTTTTCTTGTGAACGTTTTTTTTTTTTTTCTTTTTTCGGGTTTCAAGCTGAATCCATAGAGTGCTGTGGGCTGTGCTGCCCTGTATGTACCAATATAACAATGACTGCGAAATTAGACTGTTGGTACAGGTCCTACATGTGATAGTGTGGGTTTTGAAAACAGCTACTTAACCTCACTGTGCCTACTCTTTTATCTGTAAAATGGGCTGGTAATACCTACCTTGCCTTGTGTTGAGAGGATTAGAAGAATTAATAAAACAGAAAGACACAATGCCTTTTTCTTTGATAGCTTCGTCTTTAGCAAGGAAAAACATGTGACTGAATGGCAAGGTTCATTGTAACCCTCTTCATCTGGCAACTAAGATACTGTAAATTTGCAGTGCGTTTATCAGTAGTGCCTGTAGAGAATAGTCAGTAGAATCTATACTGAATTATAGGCTTTGAGATTTCGCATGTGCTTTGAATTACTTGTCAAGAATCAGAGTTAAAGCTTCAATACTTTTCTGTACTGCTGCTAATTTCAAGTCTTGATACATATTTTCTTACTAATGTAGAAAATGCATGAAATGGGCATCTTGGGAACTCTGGTGGCCTAGTGGCAAGAAGCTGTGCTGCTGTCCCTCCCAAAGGCACGCTCTTCAAAGCTACCACCTGCTCCCTGGGAGAAGGATGAGCAATCTCTCCCATGCGATTAATTGCTTCTGAAAACCTGCCACAGGTTCAGTTATGGGTCAGTTCTGACTCTACAGTACAAAACAACACAACATATATTTCTTAAGGAAATGAAATATATACAAACAGATGGCAGCACAGTTCTTTGCAAAATTGTTCCTAGAACTCTGATTTACTTTGTAGTTTGAGCTACCTATTATTATGCAGTATAGCCTCAGTGGGTATTTGTCTAAATACACACAAATAGGAAAGGATTTTTCATTTTAAACTTTGCTGAACTTTACCCCTGGGTGGCACAAATGGTTAAGTGCTTGAATACTAGCCTAAAGGTTGATGACAGCTTGAAACCTTAGAGAGGTAAACTGAAAGACAGATCAGGCGATATACTCCTGAAAATCCCCCAGAGCAGTCCTGTTCTGCACATATGGGGTCACCCTGAATCAGAAGCAATTCCATGGCAACCAGTAACCACATGGAGCTGGAGGGAGAGGTTTTTCCCTTCATCATTTTCACTTGTCTCTCCGCAAATTTTATCTAATTTGAAACTTGAGTTTTTAAAGTTTTGTGGTTTGTTGATTTGTTTTCTTTTAAATAGGATTTGGAACAAAAATCACAAGATTCTCTGCCACAAAAAAATGTAATAAGGCTGAGTGCAGAGCCAAGGTAAATATTTAATTTCTTATAAGCTGTTAGAAGTATTTTGCTTTTATTTGGTTTTTTTTTATTTTCATGGTTCTTATCTTTAAATGCCATATATTTTCGGGCAATACTTCATTATTCAGTGTATTAAATTTTAAAAATTACTGAAGGAATGAATCTTCTAATAAACTGAGCTTAACACAGTAGTCTGTATAACATTCAATGTGAGTGGTTAATACCATGTGATAAATTTATTTCAGGATAAACTATTACATAATTAATATTTTTTCACAGATACTTGATATAGAATGATAACCAATTTCCTTATGATTCCTGCATATTTAATATTTTTAGCTTACATCTTTTGTGAATGACAGTCTTCTTACTTAATTACCTTGTTTTCATTAATTCTCTGGGCCTATTTGGTTTAATGAAAAAAGCAGCACATTAATTTTTAGATGATCATTGTTACAACTCTTAAGTCATTTCCTAGATGCATTGTGCAGGCATGCTACCTTGTGTTTACACTGTTGCTTTATACTTAAGTCCATGGGACACATGTTCCTGTGACCTAAAATGCAGATCTTTACTTAGTGACTATCTGTCAATTATAAAAAAGTATTGTATGACTCTCACTAGTAATTTTCTATGTATCAAGTCTTCTGTTTTTAATGACCAAATGTACATAGATCCTTTTGCATTGCACTAGCATATCCAACATATTAAATTTATTTATAATAGAAATTTTACATTTATAAATTGAGAAAACTATCTCTCGTCCAGGTTGTTGGATTAATGAATAATTGCATAAGGGACAGTTGATTTTAATTAGGTATGTTTGTCAAAATTATTAAGTATAAATGGAGCTGAAGTATTACAAGGAGAAAAAACTCCACTACAGTTTCTGGAACAGTTGTTTTCACTTAAATGTAGACGACAGCCTTGTTGTTGTTATTGTTAGGTGCTATCCAGTTTTAGATGACTCATAGCAACCCTATGAACCAAAGATCTGAGCGCTGTTGATAGAGTTTCTGGACGCAAGCCATTTCGGGAGTGAATGCCACTCGTACTTCCAAGCTTGTTTTAATTGAGAAGCTCCACTAAACACTATCCACCATGGGTAACCATTATCACATTTGGCACATGAATGTCACAGTGTTTAGCATCATAGCAACCACAAGTTACCTCTGTACAGCAATGCACAGACCAGTGCTATACCACCTAGAAGAATGTTTGACAGAAAACAATTTAAACCAACTTAAACAATAAAAACCAAATGGGTTTTTAAATAGAAGGCCCTATCACATGGCCTCACTTCCCTTAGCAAATCAACATTCCACCCTACTGCCCACCACTCTCACCCTCTGTAGAGCCAGCTCCTGTAGGTGACTTTCAAACTGGTCTCCAGGGCCATGCCTCCTATCAACAAGAGTTTTTAAATAGGAGGCCCTATCACATGTCCACAGCCTTAGTAGTCTAAATTTTTACATTAAATAGAGGCTTAAGATGTCTATGGTTTCTACCTAAGAACAGGTAGATAAGTATTTTGTAGTAATATTAAGGTATAAAGTTATAAAGTATAAAGTTAATGAAATTTTAATAGCTCTCAGTTTGCCAGGTCATGGTTAAAATGTAAGACTGTGACATCAAAGGGAAAAAATCAATAAGCAATGTTTTGATGCATTTTAAATTATATGCCTGTTTCTTAAATATTAAGTACCTGTTAAATTTGATTGTATTTCTCTCTTCTGTAACCGTCATATGTTTTCACCTCAAAATCTATTTGGTTGAGGTCTTTGTTTTTACTGATTATAAGAATAACATATGCTTTCTGTAAGTAATTTATATCTCACTCCACAATCAATTTTTAGCTTTAAATATCTTCTGTTGTTTTCTCAGTGGGAGCATGGGCGATTTGATTTGAGATGAGTCAATAAAATGTGGGTTAGAGTTGCAATGGGGCCAAGGAGGGTTTACACCTCTGGCTTTTCCCCTACCTGTACTATCCCAGCCTTAGCCTGTAACTGGTTAAAACTAGTCATACTTAGGGTGGAAGAAAGAAGTTACGATATGTTGTTGTTGTTATGTGCTGTTGAATTACTTGTGACTCATAGCGATCCTATGTACAACAGCCTAAAACTCTGCTCTGTCCTGTACCAATTGCACTGTCTCTGACACTCCCATCCTGATTACCACAGTCACTGAATCAATCCACCTCATAGAGGGCCTTCCCCTCCTCCGCTGTCCCTCCACCTTCCCAAGCATGATGTCCCTCTTCAAGGACCGGTCTCTCCTTACAACATGTCCAAGTTATGTTAGATGGAGCCTCAGAATACTTGCCTCCAAGGAGCCACCCAGTTTAACCCTTTCCATAATGAATCTGTTTTCCTAGCAGTTCATGGTAGTCTCAATACTCTTCTCCAGCACCACAGCTCAAAGGCATCAATTCTCCTTCTATCCTCCTTGGTCATTGTCCGACTCTCTGATGCATAACAAGTGATTGCAAAGACCATGGTCTGTATCAGATGTACCTTAGTCTCCAGAGAGACACCATTGCTCTTCAGTACTTTGGAGAGTTATGATATACTGGTATATTATTTAAGGAGGAGCATAACTTTGAATTTTAATCATAGGTAAACATAAATTAGACTTTTGATGCTAGTAGTAAAATAATCTAACAACCTAGTCCACAGAAAGTTACACTGCCAAAATGAACATACCTTTCTGATGATTTCAGTTTACCAGCCTCTCCTAGAGAGAAAGGTGGACAGTCTTTTTTGATTTATCATCTCAGAAACCCAGTGGAGAATCAGTTGTATTTCAGTGCTGATTTGATGAGGGCAGTGAGTTGAAATGAATAAAATAGTCACTTTTGTGTGTGTGCGCACACACATACACATATACATGTGTATAATTAGGTAGATAGCTTAAAGCCTCAGTGGTGTAGTGTGTTATGTGTCATGGTGCTAACAGAAAGATCAGCAGTTGAGATCTACCAGCTGCTCCCTGAGGAATTATGCAGAGTTTCCTCCTGTAAAAATTTTCAGCCTCTGAGCCCTAATGGAGGGTCATTATGAGTCTGAGTTGACTCAGTGATAGTGGGTGTATGTGTGTGTGTAGTGTTTTAAGAATTTTATATTTAAATAACACTCTTTATCTTAATTTTGTTTGCAGTTCTTTTCCGCCAAATGTTAATCCCAGTATTTTCATAGTTCAGCAAATTGCGCATTTTGTATGTTAGTGCTTCAGAAATCAAACTTTTTTTTTTATTTCTTGTTTTAAAAAAAAATCTACGTCTTACTTGTTAGCCACAAATTATCTGAGTTACTGATCTCAGTAAAATTTATGAATAATGAAGAGAGGAGATGATTATGGCTTTTAAAATGAAAGAATTTAATAGTTCTATTTGGCAGATACTGAAAGTTAAATCATTGTCTGAAGTTCTCAATCTTTCAATCAGACTCTTCAGAAGTGTATCGTGAGTCTCATATTATTCACAAGTCATGTATGATAGCCTAGAGCTTGGTTTTATCTTATCTACAATGTATTTCTTATTTGAATGAAAAAGTCTCAATCTAAACCTTGTATTCTTAGTGTAGGAGATAATTCTGCCTCCTAGAAGAGGTAGGAATTGGTGTAGAGCAGTGGTAGAGCAATATCTTATACTTTGTGTACTATTGTCTATCTGTGTAACATATAAGTGGAAGATACACAGTGTTTTGTGGAATTAATTTGTATGGTTGTGATAGCTAAAATATTTTTTAAAGCATCTTAGGGAGGTAATAATGGGGGAACCACCAAAAGATTGAGAGATATTAATCTAAAACCTGCAGAAAATAATACATTAATTTCTCACCCAGGGGGTAACATTAGTTACAGGTCCAATTTGGCATAATGTTGTTGTGTACTGTTTATTTGGAATGCACACATAGCCGACCCTCTGGTGGGTTTTCAGACGCAGTTAATTGCATGGAAGATTACCCACCCTTCTCTGTGGAACAGTTAGTGGCTTCGAACCATGTGCGTTCAGGACAGCAGCACAGCTTCTTGCTGCTAGTATTTATTTAAAAAATAGTCTGTCACTTGCTGAAAGGGACATAAACATGAGCTTATTTGAGATATCTTAAGTGTGCTTGCATAATCTTTGTGTAGAAAGCAGGAGCAGTCAGAGTTAAAATTAGGGTGTTCTGACAAGTAAATTGTCCTTACATACAAATACATCTTTCTCTTACTTTCATGATTGCCTAACAAAATGTATTGTACAGAAGGTTCACTCAAAGACATGTGGTATTTGAGACTCCCAAGAATACAGGGGAAAGTCTGAAAGAAGTGGAGATACTTCTGTCATCTTTCAGCATCTTGTCTGTTCACCGACTTTGTTTGCTACAGCACAAACTCCAAAGCTACTTGTTTGACAAGGTGCCAGAAAGAACTTTTATCCCAAGAATGAGCCTTCTGATAAGTCTATGTAGGAACTGCAAGACTTCTTAAGATCTAGCTTTGATATCCTAGAAGGTAATTACACCTATATTCTGTAAGTCAAGTGAGTCATTAAGGAAAGCCAGCACTCAAGAGCAGCAGGATTAATTCCTTTTTTTGATGTGAGGAATATACACAGGGATTGAAGAGAGTGAAGGCAGTCATCTTTTCTACCATACTTCACTTCCTGGCTACCACAATTCACATACTTTATTCATGCAAAAGAAACTCATCATTTTCCTGGGTGTCTAAAGTCTCATCTTAATATCATATTGTTTAATATATTTCTATTGCTTTATTTCTAGTATTAGAGTCAACATGGTAATAATGCAATCAAGATTTGTTGAAATATACTTAACAGTTGATTGAAATGAATATTAAGACTTAGTTGCCAGATATACATAGAACATACATCCTGTGTGAAAATGTGGCATCTGGGTATGCATTCTTCCCGGATATAAGTTCTTCTGATATTTTGAGAATGACTACCACCACACTCCCTAGTAAAACACTTAAGACACTTCCCGGTGGCCAGTGGCCTAGTG